AGCGGCTGGACAGGGGGCCGGGGCCGCAGCAGGAGCAGGGCGCTGGGCGCGCCCAGGAGCGGGACGCTGCATTGACGGCGGCGGCGGCCGAGGTCCAGCGGCGGACGCGGCGCGGTGCGACGAGGAGCAGCGGCTGCGCGCCGAGGTCGGCCGGCTGGTGGCGGCGGCACGGGCCCTGGAGGCGTACAACGAGGAGCTGGAGGGGCAGGGTGGAGGACGGGCGGATGGCCGCCGCGGCGCTGATGCGCGACTGTGCCGCCTCGGGTGACGAGGTGGCGCGGCTGCGGGTGGAGGAGGAGCATTGGCACGCCTACAGGGCGGACTGGTACCGCGCTCAGGTCGGGCCGGGGCGGTGACAGTGGGGCGGGCGGCCTGGCCATGGGCTGGGGGCACAGCAGCACATCAGACAGCCACAGCCACAGCAGCAGCAGCCGCAGCAGCAGCAGCCTGTGTTCTAACTGCTGCCTGCAGCGGCGTGGCCGAGGGCGAGGGCTGCTGTGCCGCTGGTGACACGGACGTGGCAGCCTGCCACGCGTTGGGGCAAACACGATGCCCAATGCCGTGTCGCCGAGCGGGTCTAGCAGGTCGGCAGGCCCCAGCAGTGCGGGCGAGGCGCCCGGGCTCAAGGGGGCCTGCAGCGCCCTAGGGGCGAGCAGCAGCAGCAGCAGCAGCAGCAGCAGCAGCAGCAGCAGCAGCACGTTCGAAACGGGTCGCGGCTTGCCAGCCCGCCTGCGACTCTGCGGATGCGGGCGCGGCCAGGGAGGCCGTGGCTGGGGCCGCCGGCCTTGGTGGCGGGGGCGGGGGGGGCAGCGAAGCGGAGAGCGCCGGCGGCGAGGGCGCCTCAAGAGGGCGCCGCGACGGCGGATGCTGTGTCGTTTGTTGTCATTCCCGCGCTGTCCGCCGCGCATGGCAGCGGCAAGGTGGCCGCAGCAATGCTGGTGGCGGTGCGTGAGGGCTTTGCCAGCCGTGACTGCGGCGTCGGTGCCAGGGCCCAGGCCCGCGGAGCAGGTATTGCAGTGTGCGTGGGCAGCGACAGCGAGGAGCGGGGCGGCCCCGGCCGCACGGCTGCGGGGGCTGCGGCGGCTAAGGTGGCCACGGCGGCACCCCCCACGTCGTGCCAACGTGGGAGTCGTCTGTGTGGCGTGCAGTGATGCAAGTTTGCCGTCTGATTTGCGAGGCTGACGGGCGGCGGTGGGCGCTGGATTACTCATGAAGCACCGTGCGGGCAGGGACAGGGAGCGCGGCAGAGTTTGAAAGTTGTGTGTTTCTTGGTGATACTTGCTGTGGGCAGCGCAGGGCTGACACATACGAGTCGCGTGGTGTATTGTGTGTCGTTGAACCGCGCCACACAACCTGTGCAATACCGTACTTGTATGCAGTAGTGCACATGAGCGGTGCACGCCAATTTTCAAATATCAGGGGAGCACTTGTCTCAACAAATCGTGCAAGCGAACAAATGACGTGTTAGTGAATGACAAGATGTGTAACTGACCTACACAAGGCCTTGACGCTGCCAGTGGGGCGCTGCTGCAGTAGGGGCGTGGGCGAAGTTCTGGTCGGGCAGCAGGCAGGGGCAGTTGTGGCCTGCTGCCTGCATCACCAGGGAACCCTTGTCAATCATGTAATTGCGTACACTTGAATCAAGAAAGCCGCGCAGCTCAGGCCAGTAATTTCTCGTGATACAGCTGAAGTTTCCATCGCGGGGCGAGTTGACGGTGACAGTGCACTTGGGCAGCTTCGGGACACAGCTTGAGCTGAGCTCCGATGTGCGGCGGGAAGTAGCGGTTGACGGCTGCTTGCGCCCTGGTGGAACCACGCGCAGTACTCAAACTAAAAGGCGAGAAAACCTGCACCATGCGTCCTGCGAGACGTGCAGCATCCACATGCACCGCTCGCTATCAGAAGACGCGGCAATCTCAGATCAAAGCGATCCTGCGCTGCCAGTTTAATGTGCGCTTGGCAGATATCCCAGCCATCCTTTTCAATAGCAGCATCGTTGATTTGTATGAGCGGTAGGACTGCCACCTGCTTATGCGCATTCGATGACATGGCAGCCTTGCCCCCGCCTCCGTGCGGCGGCGCAAATTTGCTATAGCGTCGCTCCGCCCTGGAGACTGGCGGTCCCCTTCATCCTCATACCTTTCTCGGCCTTTTGGCTAAGATCAAGTGTAGTATCTGTTCTTATCAGTTTGATCACTGATAACTTGGACAATGTCCAAGTTTTGATCATACAAATTTCTGATGGGGTCGCGGATCTGCAGCTTGCTGCAGCCGTTGACATGCATGCACTCGGCATTGCACTTCCGCCGAATGCGTGTTCCCTTCCCAATGAGCTGGGTTCAAACCCTGGCCTACGCTAATTGCAGGGCAACCAGCATGGCAGCCTCCTGCATCCTGCGACAGCTTACAAGCTTGGAACATGCGCATTCCTTGTGAGGCAGGTGCATGCTGACTGCGATCAGGGGCTGCCCATCACTGTCCCGGGCACTTCAGCTGCATGCTGCGGCTCAGGAGCCACGCTCCACCTCGGGTGCCATGCACAGGACCTGCCCGCAGCTGCTGCAGCGCACCGCCCTGCACAGTGCTGAGATTACAGGAAGTCCATTCAACAGCGTTGACAACTGACAAGCGTCTCTCAACGCAAGGGCTTCCCACTCGTTTCCAGTCGTAAAATAAAGCCAACAATCCATCACCTAGGTTACAAAGGTGCCCCGTGCACCGTGACGGCGGCTGCAACCCCAACGCGCACCACAAGCTTGCACTTTCATGCAACAGTGTCGTCCAAGGCTGCAGCACGGTGCGGTTGGCCCTGCCCAGCGTGTGGCGGTGGGCGCAAACTCCACACTTTTGCTTCATTGACCCGCACCTCTACACTCCACGCTGGATTGTGAGTCTTAGGGGCGCCGATGTGGCAGGTTGCTGCAGCGGTGGTATGGCAGTATGCTGCGGCAGGGGACAGGTGCTGCGACGACGTGCAGCATGACTGCGGCAAAAGCAGCAACACTGCTAACACGCAAACGCCACCAAATGGCTCAAATTGTCTCCGTGAGCGCTCCCAAATCACATCCTCACCCCTTGCGCGCATGTTGAGCGCTCTGCTTTTCTCGCAACTGTAGATCTGCCCAGAGATGGGGACTTGCATGTGGATCACTAGCATATGCTACCGGTATGCTCCAAACTGTATATGCTCAGACGGAGGAACTTGAAACATCACTGCGGTACCCACTTGCTGGCCCCACCAGCAGCTCGAGCTGGGCTGGCCAACATGCCGACCCCACTTTGCGCTCTACACTGCTTTAACTTCCCCTTCCCACAAGAACCAGGCCTGAAATCCTTGGTGCGTTCCACCCTCAGTCTTGCGCACCATCCCATGCACCGACCGGCTGCATGGGTCAGGGGTGTTACTTGTGTGCCACCCGTCCAGCTGCACCAACACTCGTTTCCAGCTGCATTGCAAAACATTACAAAATCAAACCAGCCTACAGCAAGGCAAGGCCTGGCATGTATACCGCCGCGGCATCACAAGACTCAAACCCCTCACGCGCCCCCCATCAGCCGCCGGAACGCCTGCTGCGCCCCCGGGTTGCCGCGCGCCACCTCGGCCACCTCCCCCTCGATCGCCTTGATGGCCTTGACCGCGCGCTCCTGCTGCCGCTCCAGCTCAGCCGCCTGGTCCTGGCCCGCCTTGACGTCGCCCGACAGCTCAGACACCAGCTCCGCCTTGGGCGCCAGGAAGTAGCTGCGGGGCGGCAGCGGGCAGGAAAGGGTAACACGCTGTGGGGTGCCTCGCTGGGGTCGATACTAGTGCTGAGAAGCACCGTGTGATTGCGCCCCTGCCCATAGGAGTACGCAGCAGCCGAGCGGCCCAGTGGCACGGCGACCCAATCAGCGGCTACCAAATCACAGAAAAACGGCCCTCTGTGGACGGCGTCCAAAGCTGGCCCCGGCTGCACGCCCCGCTGCCTCCGCCGCCGCCGCAACTCACGCCTTGCCGACCGCCTTGTACATGGCCACGGACTCTGGCAGCGCCTGGACCTCGTCCAGGGTCAGCTGCGCTCTCCGCAGGTTGACGCCCGTGCGCCGCTGCTGGTTCTGCACCTGGAGGGGTTTGAGCCAGGCGGGATGGCGTGTGACGAGACTGGTTTGGCGTGGGCGTGCTGAGGCAGGGTGGGGCTGCTGGGGCCGATTATACGCACGCGTGCGCATGAATGGGAACACACACGCACAACACATACACATCCCGCCCCCGAGTCGCAGACACAGGCACGCACGCACGAATGTTCGCGCACGCACGCAGCGAGCCCCGTATCAGCAATGCCAGGGCCGCTTGTTCAGCCCAACCGCAAGCATTATGAGGGGCTGCCCATGACCCATGAACACTGCTGGGTGACATGTGAGCACGGCCGCGCACCATGGCCAGGTAGGCGCCGTTCATTTCCAGCTTGTCCCGCAGCTCCAGCAGCGTCTGCGCATCCTTGTCCTGCGTTCCCGCACGCAGGTGCGAACTTAAGTGACAACGATTGATGGGGCCAACGTGCACCAGGTTTTCGGGCGGGTTGCGCTTGCTTGTGCATGCTTGTCAGCAGCAGGGCGTGCGCCAGGACAGCAATAGCGGCTGTGACGCCGATACCGCCGGCGACCCGCGCCACGCTGCGGTTGCGATGGATGTGTGCTATACAGCCTACCTCCTTTTCCTTCGACATGACTGTTGGATGTGGTTCAGGTCGAAATGGATCTGTACTGTAGATCAGGAGATCGGGAGCTCCTCCACGGGATATTCCAAATGTCAAACTTGTATTGTGCTATCTATCTCAGGCGGTAGGACTGTTAGGATGCTCAGCTGCTGCTGGATTGAGCCGCGCGCCAAACACTACTGTAGATCAGCGTCAGGACTTGGGGGATTTAGAAGTCAATAGTATGATCTTGAATCGTGCACAACTGACATTTGACACGACAAGACAGGTCGCATGAGAGGTTAGAAGAGAAACTCTGACTGTGCTGATCTGCAGAGCTGCTGCTGACCGAGTTTCGCTCAAATATGCAGACCAGCAGTGCGTGGATGCTGGCAGGGCAAAACCAAGCGGCATAGAAGCCCAATATGGGCACTGATGGAGAGGAGAGCGGCGCGACGCGCCCGAGCGCCCCTGGAGCAGCGAGGAGTGATGAAGCCGCTGCGACAGCGGATGGGGCCATCATTGAGCCCAGGTGCTGATAAGATATGGAGCGTTGCGCATGTGCTGGTAAAAAACACGACACTGACCGGACGGCATTTGAGATTGGGCGCAACACCCTCACAAACTCTCTCTGGACGAGCAACCGGTCCGCCGCCCATGTCGCGTGTTGCACGCCTGCAGCTTCGTCTTCGGCTTTGCCGGCGCAGCGCGCGGCTGCGTGGCGCACCTGGACGGCAGCCGCCTGCTGCTGCTGGCTGGGCTGCAATTCGTCATTTTGGACCAAGACGACCAGCAGGCGCGCACGCACGCACGCATGCACATCTTTGCCGCTGCGGCGATGGCTGCTACTTGCCCCGCCCCGCGGGCTGCCAGCGCGGTGACCAGCACACTATCATCCTACCCACGGATGACCCCTGCTTAAGGCGGCACTCAGCCCTTACCGCAGACGCCCATTCGACGGCACCAGGCGCGGCCAGTGGTGCAACCCGCCCGCCCCGCCCCTCGCTGCGCGGCACACTACCTGACCCACCACCCCCACCCCCGCTGCCGCGCAGACGTCCTTCATCCCCCTCCACGCGCGCGTGCGGGCGGTGCGCCGCGCGGCGCTATCGCCCAACCGCAAGTTCGTGGCGGCGGTGGAGGAGCTGTGGCCCGAGGACGGGGATGATCAGAAGCAGGTGGGACTGCTGATGTCAGGAGCCGCTGGTCCCTCGCTCCGCTGCACCGCACGAGCGGCACCTAATGCCTCCCTCGTTTTGCAAACGGTGTGGTGCAAAACGAGCTATGGCGAAGCCAGCAGGCAGGGTAGTCAGACACGCGTGCTGAGGGGTTGCCAAATGCACCAAGAGCGCCCTTGACTTGACCGCTGCGTCCCTGCATGCACAGCAAGACAACTCAGGCCGGCCGCTGTCTTCTGGAATCTAAACGCTAGCAGGATCGCCTCATTTTTTTTACCGCCAGAGCCACCAGGTTTCTGTCTACAGCATAGCTTCCGAGAAGCTGCTGAGGTCGCTGCCCCTGGAGGGGGCCGCGGGCAGCGGCGGGGACGCGCGCGGCGGCCTGGCCGGGAATGCGCGCAAACAGCAGGGCGCAGGGGCGGGGCCGGGCGGCGGCGCAGCCGGCCGGGCGCCGGTCTCAACGGCGGTTGCCTTGAGCTTCAGGTGAGCGTCGTTGCCACTTGCATCCGAAAGCAACAGCAGCAGCAGCAGCAGCAGCAGCAGCAGCAGCAGCAGCAGCAGCAGCAGTAGCAGCAGCAGCAGCAGCAGCAGCACATGTCGGTAAAACCCGCAAGTCCGCCACCCCACATTCACCCCCCCCCTTGCCCCGTCCTCCCTGCTCTGCAGCGGCGACGGCAAGCTGCTGCTCGTGGCCTGCGGGGCGCCAGACTGGACGCTGCAGCTGTGGCGCTGGCAGATTGGCAAGGTGGGCAGACTTGGGTTCGGCGCCGGTAGTGCCGGCCTCGAAACCTCCGCCCGCACGCCGCCTGTCCAGCCACAAGCTGATAGGCAGCAATGTGCTGCGACGGGAAGGATCAAATACCCGGAAGGGAGCCAGGGTTTCGCCCTTGCTGCTGGCAAAGCGTGTTGAATTGTGTTGTGAGGTCTCAAATTGGAAGCCGGCACGACACAAGCTCTGCTCCGCCCCCGCCTGCAGTCGGCACTGTCTGTGCCCGCAGCGCTGCCGCCCGACGGCGCCGGCGAGGTCGCCGCGGCCGCGCTGAGCCCCTGGGATGAGTCGCTCCTGGCGGCGGGCGGCCCTGGGGGTGCGCGGCTGCTGCGCCTGGACTGGGGCAGCGGCGGCGCCGGCGGCGGCGGGCCCGCGGCGGTGGCGCGGGCGACGCATATCCCGGTGCAGGTGGGGTGCGGCGGCCTGCGCATGACAGCCAAGCCGCGCCAGGCAATTTTCGGGAGACGCAGGACACACAGAGGGGCTGCCCCCTGCGTTGCCGCAAGGCAGGGCCGAGCCCATGGCTGCGCTGCGGCAGCAGCTGTCCACGGCCGCCCAGCAGCTGGCGTTGGCGGCGGGGTTGCTAGCATGATGCCTCAATCTTCGCGACAGTCAGCCTGGTTGGATCACCACTGCTTCCCCCCCATTCCCGCCGGACACTGCAGGCGGACTCGAGAGGGTGGAGCGGCGCCGGCAGCAGCAGCGGCGGCGGTGTCACCGGCGGCGTCACCGGCGGCGGCTTCACCTGCCTGTCGTTCCTGGTGGGCGGCTTGGTGGCGCTGGGCACCGCCGAAGGCGCCGTCCTGATGGCGGGCGAGGGCGGTACCAGGTCGCTCGTGCAGCTGGCCGCGCCCGGGCCCGCGGCGGCGCCGGGGCCGGC